GTTGGCCACCCAATCTTTCCTCAAGGCAACCTTGCTTAACAGAAGAATCCCGCAAGTGCTTTTTCAAGAGGCAACTGGACTTTCTTTGTTTTTCCTCACCCAAGAAGCCTCTCCAGTTCCGACTGAACGGTGGAGGAAGGAAAGATGTATTAGTCTTCGGTTCAGATGACTGCAGAAAACACCAATCCTTCCATTCGCCACCACCCAGTCAGAAGTCGAAGAAGCTTCCTGGATGGGGAGTGAAACAACTTCCAGGGAAAAACCAAGGAAGTCCAGTGGCCTTTGAAAAACAACAACACACCTTTGGGATTAGAGGAGATGACATAGATTATAAACTGGAATTATTTTTACTTGGGATTATGACAGAAAGATATGGTAAAGAGGAGATTTATCTAATGGTACACATTATCACGGCAGCAAGAATGACTTTTGCCCCAAAATGGAAAGAGAGAGAAATTCTCGATGTAGGCGAGGTGATAAAGAAGATATTGATACGTGCTGAAATGGATAGATTGACTCTGGAATTAAAAAATAAGGATGAAGCAGAATACTATAAGATATGGAATAAATTTTATCGATGGTGGGAAGAGAAAGGAAGGACCCAGAATAAAAAGCAGGATCTGTAAAATGGGTAATTATGGATAGAAACCAACTGTACAAATGTATAAATGTATATAAAAGATGTATTATATATTATAACATGCATGATAAAAAGGAATGTCAGGACAATCACACTGTGTCCAATGTTTTAATAATTTAATCAATAAAATATGGAGAAAGAGAGAAAAAAGCCTTTGGGACCTGGATGGATGAAAATCTCCATAGCCATATAGCGGTTCGAAAGCATGTAAATGCGAGTAGATTAATAGGTACCACTTTGGTGAGAAGGTGAAAGCTCATTTCTTGGTCCTTTTCTCTGTCTCTCTCTGTCTTCCTCTCTCTCTCTTCCTCTCTCTCTCTCTGTCTCTCTCTGTCTTCCTCTCTCTCTCTCTTCCCCCCTCTCTCTCTTCCTCTCTCTCTTCCTCTCTCTCTCTTCCTCTCTCTCTCTCTCTTTCCCTCTCTCTCTTTCTCTGTCTTCCCCTCTCTCTTCCTCTCTCTCCCTCTCTCTCTCTCCCTCTCTCTCTGTCTCTCTCTGTCTTCCTCTCTCTCTGTCTCTCTCTGTCTTTCTCTCTCTCTCTCTTCCTCTCTCTGTCTCTGTCTCCTCCCGCTCTGTCTTCCTCTCTCTCTCTCTTCCTCTCTCTCTCTTTTCCCCTCTCTCTTCCTCTCTCTCTCTGTCTCTCTCTGTCTTCCCCACCCTCTCTCTGTCTTCCCCTCCCTCTCTCTGTCTTCCTCTCTCTCTCTTCCTCTCTCTTCCTCTCTCTGCCTTCCCCTTTCTCTTCCCCTCTCTCTCTCTTCCTCTCTCTCTCTCTCTTCCTCTCTCTCTCTTTCCATCTCTCTCTATCTCTGTCTGTCTGTCAGTCTCTCTCTTCCCTCCCTACTTACCACTATTTATTGCTATACTTCTTTAAATATTGTGTTCCTCCAGGAATTGTTTTAAAAGCAGATTTTTTTTTAAAAAAAAATAATCTTCCCCCTTCCCTTGCTAACTTGTTATCTGAGTGGGCAAATGACTCATTTGTTTACTTGCCAGATAGCGAAGTAAACACTGAGGTCACCTAAAGAGGTGCACAAAATGTCGCTAGGACAGGATTTGAACTCGGAGTGTAGAATGAGAGTGGTGGAAGGGACCTTGGAGGTCTTCTAGTCCAACCCCCTGCTCAGGCAGGAAACCCTCTACCATTCCAGACCAGTGACTGTCCAGTCTCTTCTTACAAGCCTCCAGTGATGAAGCACCCACAACTTCTGGTGGCAAGTCGTTCCACTGGTTAATTTTCCTCCCTGTTAGGAAGTTTCTCCTTAATTCTAGCTTGCTTCTCTCCTTGGTGAGTTTCCATCCATTGTTTCTTGTCCTGCCCTCAGGGGCTTTGGAGAATAGCTTGACTCCTTCTTCTCCGTGGCAAATATTGGAACACCGCTATGATGTCACTCCTAGTTCTTCTCTTTGTTAGACTTAGACTAAACTAGACTAGGCACACCTAGTTCCTGTAACCATTCATCATAAGGGTTACCTCCATCTTGGTTGGTCTTCTCTGCACTATTTCTAGAGTCTCGGCGTCATATTTTTGTATCGAGGTGACCACAACTGAATGCAATATTTCAAGTGTGGTCTTATCAAAGCAGAGAACATATTCAACGTAACTGCCTCTTCCTATTTCCCCCACAACAACAGCCCTGTGAGATGCATTGGAATGAGAGGGAAGGAGTGGTCCAAAGACACCCAACTGGCTTTCATGCCTAAGGGGGGACTCGAACTCACCATCTTTTGATGATTGGCCCAAAGTCACCCTGAAGCTAGGTTTCCTGCCTAAGGTAGAACTAGATCTCCCAGTCTCCTGATGATTGGCCGAAAGTCACGCAACTAGCGTTCATGTCTAAGGCGGGACTAGAACTCCCAGTCTCCCTGTGATTGGCCCAAAGTCGCCCAGCTAGGTTTCCTACCTAAGGCAGGACTAGGACTCCCAATCTCTTGGTGATTGGCCCAAACTTGACTTTCATGGCTAAGACAGAACTAGAACTCACGTCTCCTTCTTTCTAGTCTGGTGCCTTAACCCTGGAGGGCATCTCCCAACAATGCTAATGTGTCTTCCTTCTTCTTCTCTTCTCTCCCAGATCCTGTGGCCCTCAACAACTCAAGAAGGATGCATCTTCCGTGGTGGCCGCTGAGGGTCTCCTCTTCCTTTCTTACCAAAATCTTGGTCGCCGGGGTCTTTTGTGCTGGGAATGTCTCCTGGGTTGGTGCCAACGAACTTGACCCGGAAGTGAATGGCACCTGCGAAGGCTATACTCAATGTCAACCCGGAGTGCTCCTCCCGGTTTGGCAGCCGGACAACCCTTCCTTTGGAGACAAGGCTGCCCGGGCCATTGTCTACTTTGTGGCCATGATGTACATGTTCCTGGGGGTCTCCATCATTGCGGACCGCTTCATGGCCTCCATCGAAGTCATCACATCCAAAGAGAAGGAGATCACCATCACCAAAGCCAACGGGGAGACCAGCATTGGCACCGTGAGGATCTGGAACGAGACTGTCTCCAACCTCACCCTCATGGCTTTGGGTTCCTCAGCTCCTGAAATCCTTCTGTCCGTCATCGAGGTCTGTGGCCATAACTTCCAGGCAGGGGAACTGGGTCCTGGCACAATTGTGGGCAGCGCAGCCTTCAACATGTTTGTGGTCATCGCCGTCTGCGTCTACGTCATCCCCAACGGCGAGAGCCGCAAGATCAAGCACTTGAGGGTCTTCTTTGTCACCGCTTCCTGGAGCATCTTCGCCTACATCTGGTTGTACCTGATCTTGGCTGTCTTCTCACCAGGGATCGTCCAAGTCTGGGAGGCCCTGTTGACCCTGGTCTTCTTCCCAGTGTGCGTTGTCTTCGCCTGGATAGCTGACAAACGTCTCTTGTTCTACAAGTATGTCTACAAGAGATATAGGGCAGACCCACGCAGTGGGATCATAATTGGAACGGAGGGGGAGTTCCCCAAAGGCATCGAGATGGACGGAGGATTTGTGGCCAATGACCACCGAGAGAATGTCTATGTAGATGGCAGTGCGGCGTCCGTGGCTCCCCTTCCCGTCGTCACCCAGGAGGAGAAAGAGTTGGACGAGAGTCGCAAAGAGGTTATCCAGATCCTCAAAGACCTCAAGCAGAAGCACCCCGACAAAGAACTGGAGCAGCTGGTGGAGATTGCCAACTACTACGCTCTACTGCATCAACAGAAGAGTCGGGCTTTCTACCGCATCCAGGCGACACGTATGATGACCGGGGCAGGCAACATCCTCAAGAAACATGTCACGGAATTCTCCAAGAAGTCCACCAACCTTCTGGACGTGCCTTCAGAAGCCGAGGTGGAAGAGAACTACAGCAAGATCTTCTTTGAGCCATTCATGTACCACTGCTTGGAGAACTGCGGCTCGGTCACGTTGACCGTGACTTGCCAGCAAGGTGGAGACACCTACAACACGTTCTACGTAGACTACAAGACCGAGGATGGTTCAGCCAAAGCAGGTTCAGATTACGAGTATAGCGAGGGCACCCTGATCTTCAAACCCGGCGAGACCCAGAAGGAGTTGAAGATCGGCATCATTGATGATGACATCTTTGAAGAAGATGAACATTTTTTCGTCCGGCTTCTCAACCTGCGGGTGGGCGACGCGGAAGGCATGTTTGAGTCGGACTCTGCTGAGCACCCTAAGGGACGCCTGGTGGCCCCGCTGGTGGCCACTGTGACTATTCTGGATGATGACCATGCTGGCATTTTTGCTTTCCAGGACAAACTGTTAAGGGTCAGCGAATGCCAAGGGACCCTGGAGGTCAAGGTCACCCGGAGCTCGGGGGCCCGAGGAACTGTGATGGTCCCCTACCAGACGGTGGAGGGAACGGCTCAAGGAGGGGGTGTAGACTATGAGGACTCCTGTGGGGAACTAGAATTCAAGGACGATGAAACTATGTAAGTAAACAGAGGGGCCCGTGTGTGCGGAGGTCAGTCATGATACTGAGCCGAGGACAGAAAGTAGATAGCCTGAATTGAATGTTTGAAATGATATTCCTGAGAACAGAAGCAGGTGGTTACTAGGGGAATGAGTTGAGTTGAGCTGAATTGTATTGTGTTGAGTTGTGCTGTGTTGAATTGTGTTGAGTTGAGTTGAGTTGTGTTGAGTTGTGTTGAGTTGAGTTGTGTTGAGTTGAGTTGAGTTGGATCCCCTAATGTCCACCTGGGGGAGATAGTTTAATCCGGAGCACAGGGAGATGGTTCAAGGATGTCTTCCAACTCTTTTATTTGTTTGTTTGTTTATACACACACACACACACACACACACACACACCACCTTTATTATTTTTTTTATAAATGACTCAAATGGTGAACATATTTAATATTTCTTCCGCCATCTATTTTCTGCACAACCACCCTGTGAGGTGGTTTGGGCTGAGAGAAAGGATCTGGCTCAAAGTCACCCAGTTGCTTTTCCTGGCTACAAATTCCATGGAACTAGAATTCCCCATCCATAGGACTTCCATAGGACTAGAATTCCCTGTCCCCCCAGCCAGCTTTCACGTCTAAGGCAGGACTACAATTCACCGTCTCCTGGTAGTTGGTCCAAAATCACAGTCATCCTTCCCCGCCACCACCTCCTCCTCCTCCTTTCCACAAACCCCACTCCCTTCTGGCACTGAAGATGTTATTTAGCTGGGTAATGAAACGTCTCTAAGAAAACCACCAAGGATCCCACAGTTCAATACTGACCTCCAAAGATTCTCTTTTATGTTTCTTTCTTCTATTTTTAAAAGAAGAGAGAGAGAGAGAGAGAGAGAGAGAGAGATTAAGCCAGTGGTAGATCATGTAAGCATTCAAAAATTCAGTGTTTTTTTTTTAAATCAAAACAACCTCTTTCCAGATCCATCCTAAACTTTATCTCCATCCTTGCACAATGCTCTTTTTTCATTTTTCTAAAGACTATTTTATTAGAAAAAAATAAGCAAAGGAGAATAAAGCTACAATTTAAATTCATTATCCCGGGTGAAGAACTTTGGGTTGCAAAGCTTCCCTCCAATCTGGCGCTCTGTAATTTAAAGCAATCGCTGGGGGGGGGGAGGGTTGCTTTCTCTCCCTCCCCCTTCCTTCTCTGGGATGATGTCCCCCCCACCCCCCAAAAATGGGGGGTTGGTACGTTTTGAAAGGCTGGGAGCCGAGCCAAAGAAGCTGAGTGGAGAAAGTGAGACCCCGTCCTTCTTCCGGGTCCATCACTCGCTTTTCAGGCCGGGATTGAAAACTGAAATAGCCGACCTCGGTCCTCCGAGGAGGAGGGTGATGATGGCAGGAGACGAGAGGGGAGAGAAGGGGGCGGCTTCCGGTGAGATGACCTTTGCAAACGTTTTCCAGAGGAATCGAATCCAAGTTCCAGAGTTTTAAACAGGGTTCCGGAAAGATGAGCACTTGCCCTGCCTAACAGATGTCGATATTTTGGGGAAATGGAAATGGGGATGTTAGATTTATAGGAAGTCCTCAACTTAGCACCACAAGTGATAGATGATAGATAGATAGATGATAGATAGATAGATAGATAGATAGATAGATAGATAGATAGATAGAT